AAGCATAAACATACAGTACTATAATGGCACGGCATTCATTACCTCTATGAAAATAAGATCATATATTCAAATCATTTGGAAATGGCAGACATTAAGACATGAAAATAAAAAGAGAACATGCTCTAGAGTTTACAGTGCTTAATAAGTAACCTAATAAGTAACCACAGATGAATGTTCTGAAAGAAGACCGTGCACACATAGATAACAGATATATTTTCAAAATTTATCAGTTTTACAATTGTCACAAAACTTACCAACATCAACATATCAAACTTTCCTACAATAGTCAAATCTATTTGAAAACACTTCTGATTTATAAAGGAATCTCTACTACAAAATTTTAACTTACTTACCAATTCAACATCACTGTTTCTCCAAATGCAGACTACTGGGCCCCGCCCCAGATCTGCTGAATCAGAACTGCAGGGGCAATGCCAAGGAATCTGCACTTTCAGTAACTTCCCAGGTGATTCTCATGCACATTAATGCTGGAGAACCACACCTTTCTTGTGAGGTTTATAAGAAGGTTTTGGATTTCAGGAACTAAAATCTCCTCATTTGGAATCTTTCTAAACTAAATTTCACTACTAACGAATCAGTATTTCACAATGACTTCGGTATAACATAGCGGAAAAACAAGTGCATAAAAAGTTACAGCTGAAATTAAAACAAACTTCTAGTGCAGCACATTTTATTTTTAACTCAAGATTTAAGACACCCCTAGTCATTTCAAAGACCTTTGCAAACAAAAAAATTCCTACCTTTAAAAAAAATCCAATCAACAATATTAAAAAATATAGTACTTTATTTACGCTCAAATTCATTTATTATGCTGTTAAATAAATCAGGGTATAAACTCTTTGCATTATACCAAGTATAAGCAATGATTGTATAAAGCTAAACCCAAATAAATCTATTTATATTCCAGTATTAAATTTACTTTGATCAAAAACTGATTTTTCAAAAACTTACATAACTTTCATAAACTTACATAAACACGTATAATGAGAAGAGCAATAAGTAAAAACTAGAAGCCACCTAGAGTCCAGTTCTGGCTAAAATAGCTGCAAGCTATATGGCCTTAGGGCCTAGACAAATCATTTTACCTACCAGGAACAAAAAAAGGTAGAAGTGTCTACCCTCATTCATCTCACAGGATTACTTACTGTGAGAATGAAATGAGGTTGTATGTAAATACCTTCTGAAAAACTGTAAAGCATTTCATAAATCAAAACATTATTATGAAGACAGCAAAATTTGAAAGACTCCATGATGCTATCTTTAGGTACCTGCTGTAAAACAGACTGTCACCAGAAAAATTAAAACGTATATGCCATATAAACAACGAACATAACAAGTGACCTTTCATATTCAATTAGATATTAGACACTATTGAGTATATAATACTATGTAAATCACAAATATAAAACATAAGAATTTGATTCAATTATCTGTCCTATGTCATTTATAACAGATCCATTTCTTGTGTCAAGATATTAATGAAGTTAGATGGACCATGAGTTGGTAATTGGTAATCATTTTCCTTGCAATGTTACCTCAGATTCTATCTAGTCCCAAATAAGCTACTATCAGTACCTTTCTATATATCATGACAACTACTAGAAAATAATTATTCCCTTCCAACTGGTCAATACTCTTACCTAAGATGCAAAAATGTAAATCTTAAGTTTCTGTTTCCTGATCTTTACTCCATTTATTGTTTTTGTGCATTCATTATAAAATGCCAGAATAAAAAAGTGAAAACATCAGTTTCCACTGTACGTATGTGTGAAATGTAAGGAAAAATAAGGCAAATATTCTTTATTGTTTGGTATTACAAAAAAACCACTAAGAATTATAAGTGACTTATTTCACACGGCAAGAGACTGTCTGATCCAAAATGAAGTTAACAAGTCTACTGACAAGGAAATTAGTAAATCTTAACTCTAAAATCAAGGATTCTAGCAAAGAATACATAACAACATATAATTACTCTGCATGCATCAACCTAACAGCTCAGATAATGTCCTTTAACCTGGGGCCATATTCCACAGCTTGAAAGAGATCACGCAGTAAGGGCATAAACCACCTTTTATCTCAAACAGATTTTTTGTTTAATTTTATCGTAATAAAGATTTATCTACAGCTCAATAGCTAATGCTTTAGAGTAGTCTATAGAGAAATTGCAAGTGTTGAATTAAAAACTTATATGCAGACAAAAGGGCAATAATATCTTGTGGTTTGTAATTAAAACTATATTTGGTAATATCTGCATGTTAATTTATTCATTACTTGAAAGCTAAATTTTTTTTTCTCACTTTACATCTATAGTATAACAATCAAAAAGTATCCTGTGTCTAAAGAGACAGTGTTCCTTACATTTTTCATTTGGAAGGGAGAGGAAAGGGAAGGAAATCCCACCAATTCAGCTGTCACTATAGCATTTGTTTTCTAAGCATTAAAAATTCCATTTTTATATGACATGCACCTGGGAAGAGCCATATATAGAAGCCACTTTTTCCAACATGGTCTTTATTAAACTTTAAAAGTACTCCTGCTGCAAGGGTTCGTTTGTATTATTTAAAAACAAGTAACTGTAAAAACCCTCAGTAAAACCGTAAAAAGCAAGTTGTTGGAAGACAACAAGCAAAAAAGAATTATTATACCTTATTCAATAGAGGTTAATAACCTTATCAATTTTGAGTGTTTATTTTAAAATCTGTTAATAGCCAGCAGCTAAAAAAAACTGTAAAACCACTATCATGCTGGTAGGTGCCCTTATTTTGGTGGCAATGGCTAATTTTAAACATCTATTTACAATGCAGCTATTACTTTCCTTACTTCTTTACTAAGAAGATAGTCTGGATAGATCCAGACTATCAATATTTCTGATATTTTATCAAAAGTACAAATCAAATCTAGTTTCTCACCTCATCGCAGAATGCTACACTAAATCTCAAGTTTCAATTAAAAAAAAAACATGATTTCCCATACAACTGCAGAAATTTCTCTCAAAAGAGAAATAACAAAATACAGAAAAATGAAGACAATTCCTCCTTATACGTCTAAATGAGGATGCCAGTAATGACAACTGCAATAAAAATCAAAACGGCATACTCTGAATTTTCACCATTTTAATGAAAGAAAATCAAGAAATTTTAAATGAAAGGTGGCGGCGCTCTGTCCTCAACTCACCCGAATGTGACTCACTTTTGCAGACTATATGGTAGGAAATAACAGTTACTTTTCAAAGATCTTTGCAGTTACACCCAAGCCAAAATCAGGACAGAGATCCACCCTTAATTACAGCAATTTAACTGTCTTAGCCAAAGCAAGGTAAAAACTAAAACGTCCCCCTGAAATCATGGCTACATAGGCCCATTTCATATACTAGCTTTCAAAGGCTCCCAATAAGAAAAATGACTATTTACTTCAAATTTGAACTCACTAGGAGAATTAAAAAAAAAGAAGAAGAAAAAGAAGAGGGGGAGGGGGACCCAAATGAAAAGCATAAGTACAAAAAGAAGATTCTCCTGCAATCCCTCTTAATTCCCCCAATCCACCCCTGCCACACACAAGAACAGGGAGTCTCGGGAAGGCTGGCATCAGGGCAAGTGGCGAAGGCCCTCCATTCACTCACGTGGGCCACCATCCAAAGGGTTATACACCCTTTGTCCAATGAGAACCTCATACAAACCAGGCCCTTACAAGTACTTCTTCTTATAAAATACACCCACGCTGAACAAGAGCCTTATTTTAACATAATACTGTCCTCAGGTGGGGGAGGTTAAACACAACGAAGGCTTCCATGTTGAAAGGCGGTCAAGATATATGCATATACCTACACATGTATGAAAAAAATCCATATAACTAATTCATCATGAACAGCAATCGATACCAACAGGAGCCATTAGATTATTAATAAACCCAGAAAAGTAGCGTCCACCGCAGCCAAGCGTAGCTGTCTGCAGCGCTCTAACCAAGGGAAAGGCAAAAAAAATCAGCGTGCCTAGAGTGGTTGAGCCCTCCGCTTAACTGCTGACCCTCTGAGCCCACCCTAATCACCCCCTGCCCTACCCTCGGCACCAAGCACCGCCACACCGCACAGGGTGCGAGCACTCCCAGCGCTGCGAGTCCCGCAGAAAACTGGTGAATGAAATGCGCACAGAGACCAACCTGGCTAGTGACCGCGGTGCAGAACCAGGGGTCGCTAACTAGCTTGGACACAGAATTCTCCCGCAGGATGGAATAAAGGAAGCACACCCCCCACCCCTGCAAATAGAATACCGTCCGCTTTCTTACTCTTTCCCAAAAATGGTGGGGGGTGCTGTTTTTTTTCTTTTAAACTAAGTGAATAAACACGAATCGTAAGCAAATGTGAATATCCTGGGGGGCCAGACCGAAGACGTGGGGAGAAAGGCAAGGCGGCTCTCCAACTCTCGGGGAATCACCGTCCGGTCTGACACCCATCAATCAACCACTCCGGCCGGGGGTCCACTAGGGGCCCCCCGCTCCCCGCCCGCAGTGCGTCTGGGGGGGCCGAAGCCGGAGATTAAAGGGGTGACCCTCACGGGGCGCGGGGATGAGGGAGTGCCGGGCACCGCTGCCCTCAAGGTCACCAGGCGTCGGGGCGGGGGCGACCGAAGGCTGGATGGGCTGTGAGGCGGCCGAGGCGTGAAGCCGAAGAGCTGCGGGTATAGGCAAGAAGCCCCGCCGAGCCCCATCCCTCAGACCCGGAGCAGTGACTCCGGGCCAGACCCGGCGCTGAGGCGCACGGGGTGGAAGTCGATCACCTTCACTATCTCCCAGCAGGACACAACCTGAGAGGGACCCCCCGCCCGCCCGCCCCCGCCAACTTCTCGCAACCCGCAGCTATACGCGGAGCACCCAGCTGTCAGGACCTCAGCCGCGACGCCCAGACCTCAACGTTCCGCCCGGCCACCCCCACAGGTGACCTGCCCCGCCGTCCTCGCGGCGGGCAGGCGGCGGCTGCCACTCACCTCGCCCGGCAGCGGGAACCATTTTCCGAGGGAGAAGGAAAGGGAGACTGTAGGAGGGTCGGGGGGCGCTGAGGGGCCGCTCGGTCCTCAGCGCGTCCGCAGCCAGCTCTCAGAGCTCGGGGCGCCACGCGGAGGTGCAGCTGCACCTCGGAGATGAAGCGGCCGTGGAGCCCAGAGGCTCGGCGTCCACCAGCCGGGGCTCCCTACTCACGCTGCACTGCGAGGAGGCGGCGGCGGCGAAGGAGGAGGAGGAGGCGGCGCCCAGCCGGCCCCCGCCCAGAGCCCGGCAGCCGCCGAGTGGCCGCCCGCGTCCCCGCAGGACCCGCCTCCTCGGCTCCGCAGAGCCGCACACAGGGTGCGCCGCGCTCGCTCAGCACGGGCAGGTCCACCGGCCTCACGCCGCCGTCTGCAACGGCAGCGGAGGGCGGGGTGCAGCCCCCTCGGTGAGCACCGCAACCCGGCCCGCCAGGGGCAGGGCCCCCGGACACCAGAGAGCGGACGGCCGAGCACGAGGGGGCTGCGCGCAGCTCCGGGCAGGGGCCCCGTTTGCACCGGGTGGCCCGCAAGATTGCCGTGGTAGGCAGGGGGAGGAGAACGCTCACCCGTTCCGGTCTGGCGCTCCCTTCTCTCCACACCCACACGCCTACCGCTCCACGCTGGCGGCGCAGCTGCTCCCGCTGCCACTGCCGCCGCTGCCGCCTTGGCTGGGCGCGGTCACGTGACGCGGCCCGCGGGGAGCCTGGGGGCGGGCGGGTGCGCGCGCGGAGGAAGCGCGGCTCGGCCGGGGACTGCGAGCGGAGCGGCACCGAGAGGGCGTTTAAGGGGAGGTCCCGGGGAGCGCGCCCCCGGCTGACGAGCGCGCGCCCGGCGATTAGAACTTGCCGCGCGGCGGGGAAAGGGTGGCCGGAGTGTGGGGCGGGGGAACTCGCGCCTCCGCGCGCTCCTCCCTCTCTTCCTTCCCCCGAGCGCCCCGGCTTGCTGCTGCCCCCGCCCCCTCCAGCTCGCCCCTTCCCTCCTGCTGACGCCTGCCATTGGCTGAGCGGCTCTGACGTCCGTGTTTCCATGACGTGTTGGTGCGGGAGGGAGCGGCGGGGGAGGAGGGGGTGGCTCAGGCGCGCGGGGCGGTGACTCGGTCAGTCACAGCTGCTGTTTCGGCGCGGGGCTGGGCCGTTCCCGCGACGTGTGGAGGCAGGAGAGCGATGACTGCCGCAGGAGTGCGGGCGCCCTTCACTTGTGGCCCCGCCCGAGCCACCCCCGGGCCCGCTCCCCTCCAGGGCCCAGGAGCTGGGCCAGCGCCCGGGCAAGAGCGAGCGCTCTTGGCGAAGACAGGTTAAGGCGAACCCCAGTCAGCGGACATTTGAGCGGCACCTCGCCGCGCTTCTGCCTCCACTCTGTACTGGACACGATGCCCGTCCCGAGCCGTGACGCACGCACCGGACGACAAAAGTGCTTCCCGGCTCGCTCCTTCTTTGGGGAAGAGATCTCACTCCCCCTGCGGGCGCCGGGCGCCACATCTCTGTTCTTCCCGGCCGGGTCCGCAGCCATCGGGGATCCCTGCTGCAGCGCCCGAAGGGTTAACGCAGGCGTTCGGCCGGTGCAAACCGGCCTCGCAAGATCCGCGCTTAAAATCCGGGTGTTTTCGTTTTGGGTTTGCTTTTTCTACCTGTGCCAAGCTGGTGGGTCTTTTTATTAATAGTTCACTTGTAGCATCTCAACCCTGCACCGTTCTTTGCTGAGGGGAAAAGGAAATGAAAAAAAAAAAAAACAAGGAATAGCGTGCAAGTATTTCGATGCTGAAAGGTAACCGGCTCTGCCCCAACCTTCAAGAGATTCTGCAAGTTAAAAAAAAAAGAAAGAAAACCACCCGTTGTAACATCTACTTTACAAACAAAACGGGTTTCCTTCCTAAACACACATATGCACATATTTAAAGATGTGTATCTTACCTAAGATACCGTGCTCCATATTCGTCTGATCTCCTCTATTTGAACTAACCATCGCTGCTCGCCCAGAGACCTTGTCTGTGTTATTTTCAGTATCAATCAGAACAAAAAGATAAGTTCTGCAATCTTCTTTTTTCTCTTATATCCAAAAATGGAAAATTAATATTTGCATAGTCTTCTCAAAAACATACAGGCAATGGGAAATACTGTATCATGTTCACTATCTGATAACATTTATTTTAAAATATTTTAAAGGCTTAGGAAACAAAATACGTAAAAGAAGTTTAAAAGTGAAGAATTCTAAGTCAATCCTGTTGAAAATAATTTTTATCAGCTTAAGTATCTCACTAGGTTAGACATTGTACCAACCTTCTGAGCTGTGCCCTTGACTTGCAAAATTCACACTGGGCAGAATGACAGCATTTTTCCTCCCTTTAATCGCTGTTGGAGAATTGGTTGGTATAGTACACAGTAAATAGCCCTTCTTGACACTATTTCAAATCTCCTTAACAGAAGAATAAATTAACTGAATTTCACTTAGGTAAATTATAGTGTTCTGCCCCCCTCCCCCCGAAATAGCTTTCAAAACGGATTAGACATTAAGAATCCGTGGCTTTATTCCAACTTTTCCTCCAAGGAAGTCACAATAGAATATTGAATTATGCATTCTACTTTAATCAAGAATTTGACATTAAAGTAATATATGAATCATTGCTATAGTACACTAGCAGAATGGATAATAAACTAGAATCTGTTCACTTTGTGGATTACTTGCAGTTCCACATTATAAAATGTATGCTCTTAAAGCGTTATGGTCCTGAGAAATTACTGACAGTCTTCATTTTAGAATGATTTTAATTAAGTTTTCATTTATGGTTATATATATTAAATGAAAACTTTATACAGATACGTAATATTCCAGAACATATTTGTATGTATTTTAATGAAATGTGAGTCACATGCAATGATAAACTTTTATTGTCATAGTCAAGGTAATTGTACTATATAGTTTTATTTTTATATTTTTGTTCTTCAAATAGAAAATAAAAGCTGAAAACAATATAGAAATAACTGTACATTACACATTAAGAAATTCACTTTTTTCCTTCCACAGGCTTAGTACTAAGACCTTCATAATAGCATATTTCTCAATGTAAAAATCAAGAAAGTAGTGGATTGCTAATGAGCGTTTCCTAAAAAAAATTGAACTACCTGAGTTCAAAGATGCCACTGGGTATGATATAACCATATCCTCTTAGTGTTAGAGCTAACTTATCCCATGGATTTAATTGATCTAGAGAAATATCAATGCATAATAAGGAACAATATTATAGTACAATTTAGTGTTGAAATATTTAATCTTACAAAGTGCATTTAATATGCTTTTTAGTTATGCAAAATTTATAAAGGCATTTAAACTCTATGAAAAGTTACTATTTGTGATGTTAACATTGAAGAGAGGCCACGTATTCAAAATAATATATTTGGTAAATTCGTAAAGTGAATTCCTTTTAATGGAGTAAATCTAAGGTATTGACATCTTTGTTGATAAGTTGATCGATTCAAGATGTCTAACTCACAAACAGAGTTTTCTAAAATCCTCAATGTAATTAAGTGTAGAGAAACAGGAGGAACTTTATTCCCTCAAGAATTCTATCACATGCATATAGCAATAGGACAAAATAAAGACATACAAACAGCAGCATATTTTAAAACAGTATCTTTCCCGTATACATGTATACATGTATACATATGTGAATGTGTCAGTACTGATTATTGCAGAATGCTAAAGAAGACTGACAGGTGCAGGGAGGCAGGGAAGGAAGGCTATTAAATCCTCCATATAAAATAGCTGTATATATGCTCAAATTTCCATTAACCTGGATCACCAGAAAGAAATGTCAAGAGAAAGATTACTTAGCTGAAAAACCACAGAGAACTATTATCTATTAGTAACAAATTAATTAAGTTTGCTGAATTAAATAGAGTATGTACATGTAAACCTAAAATTAGAATTTTCAAGTCATATAATGGAAAATTTTTGTACATAAAAAATACAAAATGGTTAGATGTCATCATTCGACAGGAAATATTTAGTACCTAGATACCATGTACTCTTCTAGTATAAGGCATTTTTTTCTACCCCAAATTTTCTATAATCTAGATCATAGACTATGGCCCTAAATAAAAATTCCAGAGACTCAAAAAGAGATGGCTCATACTTAAATGTGATTGAGAAAGGTTTCCTAAATAAGATTTGGACTTGACTTGTGCCATGAAAGATATATAGGACTTAAGTTAATTCAAAGGAAGATGCACGGTAGAAATGCTGGGAAAAGTACCTGGGAACTAACAATTTAACCACATTCATTTTCCTATCCATTTATTATCCGAGAAACATATATTTGCTACCTTTGGTATCCCTCACTCCCATAAATTGAACTCATTTATTTTCCTGTTAATAAGGGTGAGTTATGATATATCATAGGACTGTCAGGAGGTTTGGGTGAGATACTTATATAAAGTTCTTAACATAGTGCTTGATGTGAGGTAAATGTTCAATAAATATCATTAGTTTTCATAAGCATTCATTCTTTACCCCTATTACCAAGTAAGTGTACTACAAAGAAGAGTATACATTTTTATTTGATCAAATAGATTTTATATTAGAAAAGAATTGTTTTGTTTGCATCCTGTGAGACAGACACTATTTGTGATACTGTTAAAGCATACCACGTTTAATCACTAATCATCACTTAATTTGACTGATATAGCCTCCTCCCAGCAAATAAAATCTTAAATTGACTGAATCAGTTAGACATGCTTTTGGCTATAAGTAACCAAAAACTAGACTAATAGTGGCTTAATGACTAGGGATTTCTTATTCTAACATTGGAAGTTCAGAGTAAGTTATGATATAGTAGATTCAGCTGCTGAACACAGCCATCAAGGATCCGGGCTCACGCCTTTCTGTTCCACCATCCCTGGTATATGCTATCAGTAAAATCAACAAGGTTGTCTGACATTTGTGGTGAATCCTACATTTTTCAGATTTTTTTAGTGCTTATATTTTTATGTAATTTTTCATTGTTGCCCACCTTTTCTTCAAAACTCCTTTTTTGAGAGTATGCAAAAGAATCACTTGTGAGCTTAGCAATACAGATACCTGGGCCACACTCCCAGAGCTTCTGATTGAGTCTGTGTGGAGTGGAGCCAGCAGATCTGCATTTTTGACACTCCCTTAATCTGAGTCTGATGCACCACACTAATTCCCTC